AACAAACAAACAAAAAAATTGTTTCATTATACTGTCGTACGGGGTTGTCATAAAAAGGAGTATTATCTTTATTTCTTTCTTTCTCTTTTTTTTTTAAATAATTTTTCAATGGAACAATATAGGATCTATACGTATATATTTTAATTTTTTTTTATCTTATCAACTGAATTATAATTAATTATCATTATCAATTGAATTATAATTAATTCAATTTCTTTTTTTTTTTCTAATTATGTGTAGCAAAATGGCTAATTTTAACAACTGTACAAATTTGTGCTCTTTTATAAAATAATATTACGTGTGTATGTGTATGTGTATGTATGTATGTATGTATGTATATATGTATATATGTATGTATGTATGTATGTATGTATGTATGTATGTATGTATGTATGTATGTATGTATGTGTGTGTGTGTATAATTCAAGTTATATTGCTCATTGGCATAGATGTATATTAGATAGGTATGTATGTTATAGGTATGTAGTTTGATTTAAATCGAAAATTTGGATATTCCTCGGACTAGAATGTATATTAGTGTCCTTCAAAGGAGAAGGACAGTATACTAGTCGATATTATACATAGAGAATAGTTTGGCATTGGTTTAAATGATATGAGGATAATTTAATGAATTTCTCCCGGTTGGCAAACAGGAGTCGAACGGGTCAGATTCTGGAAGTGAGTGCCGAGAGGATGGATCGTCTGGCAGCTCAGGGCGACTTTGTGGTAGCACCGGAACAGCATCTCTCCGAAATTTGGCACAAAGCATTGAGAAATCCGGATGGATCAGAAAGAAAAGACAATGCGGAGAAATCCATAAGGTACGTTTCTCCGATGTAAGACTGTCCGATTCGTCGTGACAAAATTTTTTTTGTAATTCCAGGTTTTTTTTTTTTTTTTTTGTTTTACTTTATCTTTATTAATGGATTAATTTCTTTTTTTTTCTGTCTTCTTCGTTTTGTCTCTTTTCTTTAGCCTCTTTTCTTTTTCTATCGAAATACATTATTTTCGAGCGAAGCCTTCATCAAACTCTTTGTTAACTAATATCTATTTATATCTTTTATATCATTATCAGAGGTATCATGGCAAACTTCCAGGTAAAATAAATAAAAGGAAATTTTAACATCAGTAGATCATCGTAATAAATCTTTCGCTCATTTAGAAATATAGTTTTCTTTCCTTTTTTTCTTTTTTTTTTTTCCCCCTTTAAACATTATTCATATAAATGTATAGTATAGAGTAGTCGACGATAATCAATAGAGCTAGTATTTTATAATCATTCATGGAAATTAAACGATCGAAGTAAAACGTGTTTAATCTTTCGTCTAAGTAAAACCTTTAACATTATTCATACTTTCAGTACAAGGACTAATGACCTGCATGGCAAGAACATGCGGCCTAGAGGGTGCAATCCGTACGGTAGATCGTTTGCAGTCGACTCTTCGCGTTTCAACGATCGAAATGGCGTACAAACACGAGCGGCCGATAAATATGGCGATGCAAATCACAAACGAGAGAATTTCATAAATGGGTATGGGAATGAGTTGAATTGGCGGAGTATCGCGAACAACGGAAGGATCGATCAAAGGAAGGGTTTGAATGGATTGAAGATTACGAATGGTTTGAAGAATAATATAAACGACAGGCAAATATTGTATCGTGCCAGTGACATGAAACAGAACGGTTACATTGGAAGAAATAATCGGGAGAAGGAGGGAAATAATAATAATAATAATAATAATAATAATAATAATAATAATAATAATAATAATAATAATAATAATAATAACAATAATAATATTAATATTAACAACAATAATAAAAATCATAAAAATATTAATAATATAAATAAGAACAACAATCAGGTGAAAAATGGTTTGGATCGTTTCGTCGTTAATCAGAACGCTATACTTTTACGAAAAGATCTTTGGAAGAACGGATTCGGTGTTCCAATCAACGTGAGACATTTGTTAAGACCGACCGTCGTAGAAAAGCGACAAGAGAATCGTCGAGTCGAATACGATGCGGAGGACATTAATGGACCATACAATTTCAGACAGCTATTGAGACCGGCCGAGTATCTTCCAACCGAATCGCTTAGAAAGAGAAAAGGTGGAATGGCCTGTTGTAACAATGATGCTGTTATCAGTAAGGATAAAATACCGGATAAGCACGTTAAGAGAAAAACTCCTTTAGCACCCGATCAGAACAAAATTGTTATCAATGTTAAAAAATGAATTGCGAATGTTGATAGAAATTTGACGGATACGATCGGGAATTTTTCTTTTTATTTATTTATTTATTATTCTTTTTTTTTTTTTTCGAATCGATCGATGACGATGACGTTCGATCGAAGATTATCACGAGAATGTTCGTATCAATTTAGTTTTGAAAAGTAGAAACTTCCTATCCGTTTTGAAATATCGTTGCGTTTAAAAATATCGTTAAATCGTTACAGTAGAAAGATATTTTCAAAATAACGTTAAGGATGTTTAAGATGTTTAACTTAGTTCGTTCAAATCGTAAGACGGCAAGTGTTTCTTTTAACGAATACGCGTTTTGTGCTAAAAAAAAAAAAAAAAAAAAAAGAAAAAAAAGAAAAATAATTAAATACCGTACGGGTTAACTGCCGCTATAAAGGATAACATAGAAAAATCAATAGATTGATTTATTATTATTTGTCGGACGTACGTATTAATAGTTAGAACGAATGAATTTTAGCACTAGTCATGTTTTAGCTTTACATATTATTGTTATTATTATTATTATTATTATTATTATTAATACTATTACTACTAGTACTACTATTACTACTACTAATACTACTACTGCTTAGATTTAGTCGTATTCAATAGAATTACATTTCGATATAATAGTAAACGTTCGTAGAGCGCGAGAGCGTTGTCCCTATCTTTCTTTGTTCGTTCGTTATCTTTTTCTTCTTTTTCTTTTTTTTTTCGTCTTCCATGACAAGTTGGTCTTATAAGAAATAAATAAAAAAAAAAAAAAAAAAACAAAAAAAAAAGAAATAAAAATAAAAAAAAAAACAAGAAAAAAAAAGAAATAAAAGAAAAAAAAAGAAAAAGAAAAAAAAAGTATAAAAGAAAAAAGAAAATAGAAGTAAAAGAGGGAGGAAAAAAAAATACAGACGAATTAGGAATCAGTTAATGTTCGTTCGAGTTAATTATTATTCCTTTGTCATTTATTCTTTCAATCGATATAAGAGAAGGGAACCATTACGAGATGTATTTTTTTTCTTTTTTTTTTTTTTTTTTTGCATTTAAAAATCATTGTCATTGAGTCGATGGCAATTGTGAAAATCACATTTTTTAGAAAACAATAAAGATTTCTGTGTAAAAATATTATACGATATATTAGAACTTCTCGAATTTTTTCTTTCTCTCTCTCTCTCTCTCTCTCTCTTTCTCTTTCTCTCTTTCTCTTTTTCTCTCTCTCTCTCTCTTTCTTTCACACACACACACACACACATACACACATATATATATACATACGTACACTTTCCGAGGTTTCCTTCATAGATTAATTTTCTACAGAATATCGATTACTATCATTCCGTTCCCCATAGTCATATGTTAGTCTTTGGTATTCAATATCAATGATCATGAGAATTTGAATCATTATTTACCGATAAAGCAATTGCAAAAATTTTCAATGTTATATCCTTATAATAGATAACATACCTGCATACGTGTATAACATATATATGCATATATATATATATATATGATTTATTAATTCTATTTTACATCATATCACAATACATATGGTGTTTATATATTGAATATACAGATCAAATTACATATAATTATTATTCATGTGCATTATATGCAAGTGTATTATGTAATGTATACATTAATATATAATACGTATTAATGTAATGTATACATATATATATATATGTATACATTAATACTGTTTAATTTTATTTGATTATTATTCATCGCATTCGATTGATCTATCATAGATTAATATATCGATTTGAATATAATATATACAAACAAGTTCATATTTTGAGAGATTTTAATCAAATTTCAATTAATTAAATATTATATATTATTTTTAACGAACTATTTATTGTTATTATTTTCTTAATCTTTTTTTTTTGTACTTAAAATGGATCAAATTAAACAGATTAAATTAGCGAATGTACTATTTCAAAGAAACTAAACGTGTAACATTAAAGCATATATATGAAAATCAGTGATGGGAGCTTACGAGCTTCTTCGCTTTCATCGCAGATTTCAAAGGGGCGCCACTATACGAAACTTATTTTTCACAGAAGAATGCCGAGGAAACGTCGGGATTTACATGAATTCAAGTATAATATTAAATCGATTATGATAAATGGGGAAAAAACAAAAAGACAAAAATAAACGTCAAAAATAATTAATTCGAAACGTAAAAATTAATTAATACGAATTATTCCCAAAAAGATCTTCATTCTCATCCATAAACTATTCTCCCGAAGGAACAAACCTTTTTTTTCTAAACGATTTCTTTTTTTCTCTCTCTCTCTCTCTCTCTCTTTCTCTCTTTCTTTTTTTCTTTCGAAAAAATTCATCCCATCATTCTAAGTTTAAAAATCATTATAAAGATTTACCACGAATTCTTCCTCGACGAAATTCCTCATTGAAAATATTGATCTGAACTTATATATCGTCGATACGAATTATAATTGATAAAATCAACGTTGTCATTTAAGGTAACAAACATTCACGTAAATAATCATAAGTAAGCATTAACATTATTTCGATATCGAATAAAATAGTTTAAAGAAAAATAATCATTGGCGGTTGATGGACGAATAAGATAAAATAGGAGGAAGGTTATTGGAAAAGTCGACAGATGGAGTAATAGTCAAGCCGAGGGAGCCGGTGTCGCGACGAGTGAACGTTAGGATTAGAGGGGGAGGGGGCTTAGGGGTGAGGGGCGATGGTTACACCGGGGAATATAATTTGGTCGGAGTAGCGAATAGTTGCTCGGGCGTCGCCGTCTCGGCGGGCGGCGTCGCTCCGGTAGCGATAGGGCGCGCGCGCGCGCGCCATTCCGTCGTGGTAAAGAGAGGGAGAGAGATAGATAGATATATATATATATCATATATATATCCATACATACGTACACATATATATATATGTATGTGTATATAGATAGAGAGAAGAGAAAGGTAGTAGAGTGATCGCGTCGATTGGAGAAAGAAAGAGAAAGATAGAGGGCAGGAGGTGTGCGCGGGGTGGTGGTGGAGCAACGAACCCTCTCGCCGTGGCTCGAATGTACGGAGCGCCGGAGTTGTGTTCGAATCATGGCGACACCCGACCCCGTAGATCCAGCCACCCTAGAGATTAAGACCCGTAGCATAGAACAGACACTACTCCCACTAGTGAAGCAGGTAAGGACGATCGAGTTGATACGACCGAACGATATATATCATGTATGTATGTGTATATATATATATGTATGTATATGTATACGTATATTTGTGCGTAACAACACGTTTCAAATAATTTTTTCAATAAATTTTATCTTTTATCGTAGGGAATATTCGTGTGTATGCTTTTTTGTGAATACGTGTGTGTGTGTGTGTGTGTGTGTGTGTGAGAGAGAGAGACAGAAAGAGAAACAAAGATAGAGAGAAAGAGAAAAAGAAAGAGAGAGAGAGAAAGAGAGAAAACTATCTGATTCGTATCACGTATGTATATATTGTATACGAAAAGACTTCTATGTGTTTGCGTGTCGTTCATTTCGTGCTCGATGAGGTTAAGGCCACGTCGTGTGTCGTCATTGTCGCTCTCCTTGTGCTCCTATTATGTATATATATATATATGTGTGTTTGTGTGTGTGTCTCATATATCTTATTTTTTTCCTTTTACCATTTTCATTTCTATTTCTATTTATTTTTATTGTTGACGTCATCGTCGTCATCACCGCCGCCGCCGTCGTCGTCGTCGTCGTCGTCGTCGTCGTCGTCGTCGTCATTGTTGTCATTATTGTCATATAAAAAGCGCAAGAGGAGATCGCACGTTACCTTTTGATCGATCTTTTCGAATTTACGTCGATCATTGTGCGCGCTCGAAACCGTCAACACTAGACACTCGACAAGAAGATGTGCGCACGTCTCCATAGATGCTGTAATTTTGCGAATGCGCCCGCGCATCTCTCTCTCTCTCTCTCTCTCTCTCTCTCTCTCTCACTTTCTCTCTCTCTTTCTCTCTCTCTTTCTCTCTCTCTCTCTCACTTACTCTTACTCCTATTATATATATATATATATATGTATGTATATATATATATAGTGTACATATATATATATATATATATGTATATACAGATGTAGGTAGGTGTTTGTGGTCTCTGTCGTTTTCTCTCTTAGATGAGATACATACAATATATGTGTATGTGCGAGCGTGTGCTACGTGTGTCGAGGGTGAGGGTGACATAGGGGAGCGAAAGGTAGAATGATATATATACATACATATATATATATATATATATATATATATATATATATATATATTGAGAGAGGGAAAGAGAGAGAGAGTCAGATATATCGGTGTTGGATTAAAGCGACGAAGATAAACGAACGAAAAGCACGTCTCACCTCTTCTACTTTTCTCAAATGGAGATCGAACGGAAGTACTCCTACTGTGAATTTATATTACGTGGAACGTTCGAAAAATTAAGAGAACTCATTGAATTCTTTTCTTGCTTATCGTGGACCTCGAAAAAGAAGATAATCGAAGAAAAGGTATATAAATATGTATGTATGTATGTATGTACGTATGCATTTGACAGATCCGTGGGTCGTGGGTCGTGTGTAGCCGGCATGTGCTTCTCTCATACTACGTGCGCCCTCTCTCGCGTATTTTCTGTCTCTCTTCGATATATTTCTAGTCACGTGACATTTCCTCCGATGTTACCCGCGAATTTTGGAAACTTACACTCTCGAAATAATTCCTTATTATTTATGTTTAAGATACACGTTCAATCAATGTTATCGTACTTCTAAGCGAATAATTTATTGATTTAACGTTTGTTGAATCCTACGTAAGTTTATTTTATTACGGCGTGAGCGCTGGTTGTCCGTCGGTTAATAATTCTTTTTAACGCTTTTTTTGTGTTATTATATATATACATACATACATATGAGAGATTAATATAAAGTATTGGAAGATATTCCTTTTCATAAGAAATTTTTGCCGAGATATTTATTAGAGAAAATTTCACCTCGCTCCCAATCGGATCTTTATATCATAGAGAATAATTTTCTATTGAAATAAGTAAGTTCTCTATGGAAAATAATAAAATACACGTACTTATAAGGAACTACACTTCCCTTTCTTCGTTACATGAATTGTCGATAAAGTTCACTGAGATAATACGCAAGAGGAACTTACGAAACTTAACGTGTAACTTTGGCCGTAGTTTAAGAAAATTTTTTTCGAACATTAAGTATACATATTTTTTTTTTTTTTTTTTTTTTTTTTAAGAAAATCCCGTGCAATTCTGCTTCATAGTAGAAAAGAAAGAAAATATACGAATATAAATGTTCGATAAACTATTTTGCGCGTTTAACGTTGATAAAATATTTCATTCAAATGATATCTACGTTTTCTTCTTTCTTTAATTTATTTATTTTTTCTCTTTTTGTTTTTTTTTTTTGTTGTCTCCCAGCTAATGAATTTTCCATTTTACGCAATATCGTTCGGGATATTTTTTTCAAGCTCGATTTTCCAAATTTTCATTTATATTACATCTATATAACATTTCATTCGGCTATTATTTCAAATATTCAAACACAAAAATTCACATGTGTCCTATCTAACTTTTTGATTTATATATAAATTTTTGAACGTGAGTTTTATTTTAACGCGTTACTTTACTTTACTTTAGTCGAATAATTATAATAATATCTTTGAAATATTGCGTGACCGCGTTGAATGCAAAATATCCTATGCATAAGATTCGTTGATAAAAAATAATTTCCACATAACTTGGTAAAGAATGAAACGTGAAAAACGTTGAAAAGGAGATGGTAGTGTGTGATCTGATAAAAATTCTCTTTCTTTTTGTTCCTCTTTTTTTCTCTCTCTCTCTCTCTCTCTCTCTCTCTTTCGAAGAGACCATTAAACGCAAAAAGGAAGAAATCTTTTTTCAAAGGTAGAAGAAAATTCTTGCTTGAGGTCAGGTTCCTGTAAATCGTCGCCTTGGAAAAGAACGCGATCGAACTTTTCGATAAAGCTTTCTCTATTAAAACTCGCGCGAGGATGAGAGAGAGAGAGAGAGAGAGAGAGAGAGAGAGAATTCTTATTCAACCGAAGATTTCGATGACTTTAGAAATCTCCTTTTACGATCTTTTTAACTTCGAATATCGTCTGTGATCTCAACTATTCTTCGAAAAAAAAAAAAAAAGAAATGTTTTACGTGTTCGAACTTTCAAACGAATTTTTTGTTTGTTTTTAATAACGCGGTAGAAAAGTTTTTGATTTCTGATGAAAAGACAATAATTTCCATTTGAAAAACGAAGGAAATATGTGTCGCGGAATAGATCTGTAATAATTTTTATTACTTCTTTTTTTTTTTTTTTTTTTTTTTTATTTTTATCCAATCAACATTTCACACATAGATAACTTTTAATCTACAATTTTTATTATTCTTAATTCACTATAATCGTTTTAATTAAACTTTAGAAATAATCTATGAATAAATATTTTTCTTTTGTTTTCTATATATTAACATAACTTTTTTTATCGTATTAAAACACAATTGTTCTTTAATATGAAAAGAAAGAGAGTGAAAAAAAAATCGATCTTACCAAAGATACGAATTAACAATTAATTCTTGCTATTAACGAACGAAGTAAGTTTATTTTTAAGAAGTGAAACAAAAAGAAGAAAGTGAGCAAAAAATTAAAATGAAAAATACATAAGAACGCGAAAGAAGTTATATGTAATGGCGCTTTTTATACAGTATTACTTTTTATACAGTATTGATTAATTTAGATTTAATTGTTTGCAACATAATATCGAACGAATGCTCATGGCGTTTTCTGATCGTCACATTCTCCCTATTATTATTATTATTATTATTATTATTATTATTATTATTATTATTATTATTATTATTATTATTATTATTATTATTATTATTATTATTATTATTATTATTATTATTATTATTATTATTATTATTATTATTATTATTATTATTATTATTATTATTATTATTATTATTATTATTATTATTATTATTATTATTATTATTACTATTATTATTATTATTATTATTATTATTATTATTATTATTATTATTATTATTATTATTATTATTTTCTTTTTTCCTTTCTCTTTTCTTTTTAATCAGGACACCTTAAGATTTAATCGGTCTTTCTTTCAAAGAACATTTTAGGTTTTGTTACAAGTAACGTGAATATCGCGTGCGTGCATATGTGCATTATTCACTTATACATGCTCATACATACGTGTACACACACACACACACACACAGAGTTAGGTTTCTACTCTTTAATACTTAGCGTTTAATACGTCTCCTTACATTAAGGCTAGGGAAAAGGGGTATTGTAAGGGGGTGAAGAAGTAGGAAGGCAGAGCCGATCGTTACGGTCTACAGCCACTTGTTAGAGCATCGTCGTCTTCTCTCCTTGTCTCGGATCGTCGTCATTGTCGTTGTCGTTGTCGTTGTCGTCGTCGTTGTCCTCCTCATAATCGTAGTCGTAGTCGTTGAAGCTCCATTTAGTTCGAAAGCATGCCAACCCACGGCTCTTCTTTCTCAAGTTCCTTTATCGATCGTTTTACAGATAGATAGATAGATAGATAGATAAATAGGTAGATAGGTAGATAGATAGATAAATAGATAGATAGATAGATAGACAATACTGTTTATTTTACAATCGATTATGCCTTTTAGAGAAATTTAGCGTAACTCTTTCTGTATATTTCTCTCTCTCTCTCTCTCTCTCTTTCTCTTTCTCTTTCTCTTTCTCTTTCTATCTCTCTCATTCTCTTTCTCTCTCTTTCTCTCTTTGTCTTTCTCTCGGGACAGGTTTACCTTCTATTTCGTCGTTTTAATTCGTCGTTGTACTCCGTCGTTTTACTTGTTCGAAAACATAGTAGTCGATTGAACATTCCAATTAAGGTAGCCCTCTGATGCAACCTCAAATTGATCCGATCGTTACCAAGCCAGCTTGTGGTCTTCTTCCCTATCCATCTTTATATATATATCGCTGATCGTAAACGTGCCGCCACAGAAAGTGACCCTAAGGTATTAGCACTCTCTAAGCCGTTCTACTATTAGCTTCAAAATCGAATCGTTCAATCGCCACAGGGTATCTTTGTTATTTATCCAAAATCAACGTTGCGAAACCATTAAAAGTAT